CACCATTCTATGATAAGTTGTTAGTTTGAATTTTGTTAATTTTCCTTATGAACATAATCTATAAGAGTAGAGCTATGCTGCGTACACCGTGTCTTTGTATTTACAATTTGATCTACTCCATACATATTAAATAAATGTTTGACCTTTTTGGTATAGAAGAAATCATCATCCTCATAGTCCATATTGAAGTCGCCAATCATCAGACATTTTTTTCCTATAAAGTTGTATAATTATATCATTGTTTTATTTTTAACAAATTTCTGAACTTGGTTATGATTTTTTTTTAATATATTTATTTTCAATGTTATCTAGGAATTGATGTCCAGTTGTGTGAAATTGGTTCTCAGATACAAGAAGTGATGGAGTCCTATGAGGTCGAACTTGATGGAAAAACTTACCAAGTTAAATCTATACGAAATTTGAATGGTCACTCGATTTCTCCATATCGTAAGTATACATTGACTATGTTTTACCAATAATTGCCTACCTAGTATTTTGATTATCATCCATGTGACTGAGATAATTCATTAATCTTATAACCGTGATATTCATTTTTTGTTCTTTTGCATCAAATTTAGAATAAGTCACAAAACCCTTCTGCAGGGANATCACTATTCCATCAGTAATATCAAAAGTAATTGAATATGTGGTTCTAAATCAACTGGTATCGTTTTTAGAGAGGAACAAAGTTATTATGGATAATCATCATGGTTTTCGTAGCCAATACTCTACTACAACAGCAATTATCTCCTTCTATGAGAAAGTATTAATAGCTACTGAGAAGGGTGAAAATCCAACAGGAATATTTTGTGATTTAAGTCGAGCTTTTGATTGTGTTCAACACGAAACTCTGCTTGATAAGTTATATAAATTTGGTATAAGAGGTAAAATTCATGACTGGTTTAGCTTGTATCTGAGAGAACGGAAACAAATTGTTAAAATCTCTCATTGTGGTAAAACATCTCGGTCATCTCAAAGGAATGACATTGGGGTACCTCAAGGCTCCATTCTTGGACCAATACTATTCATCCTATATATTAATGAGCTACTTCTGATCTTAACTGATGCATTCACTACATTGTGTGCAGATGACTCAACACTACTTTTTACAGGAGAAAACTCTGAAATTCTGAAAACAAAAATTAACACCACAATGCACAACTTTTCAGTCTGGTCTTCTGATACAAAACAAATTGTGTAACTGTTCATACTCATCAAAACAAAAACGTACCGCCATTAAATATCAACATTAATAACACATGCATTTATAGTACTGGAAAGTGTTAAATTTCTTGGAATTTTTTTGGGCTGTCTACAGCTTTCCAAGACACTGAACTCAAAATGTTACCAAATCAGAAATCTTAGATATACATTGAATTTGAATCATCTCCGATCATTCTATTTTGCAGAAGTTCAATCAAGAATTAACTATGGTATTGCAGTCTGGGGTGGATCAGCATATGCACAAAATATTTTTCCGGCTCAAAAGCGCATCATTAGATGTATTACTAGAGTCTTATTTAACCATAGTTGTCGTGACCTTTTCAAAACATGAGGATTTTAACAGTTAGTGGTATTTTCATTTTAGAACTTTTGAAGAATATACACAAAGCTCGTGACGACCATATGCGTATAGATGAACTACACAATTATGATACTAGACAGAAAGGCAAATATTGCGTTCCCTTCAGACGCTTAAATATTAGCTTAAATTCACCTACTGTACTTGGCTTAAGACTAGAATCGACTTCCACAAAGATATAGATCCTTTTCAAACCGGAAATTTCTTATTGAAGTGAAACAGATACTAATTGATCTGTGTTCCTACTCCCTAGAAGATTATTATGAATTAGTTTTTTAAAGAACAACCTGTAAACATGTATTATTTCACTATCCTATGTTAATTGTATTTTGTCGGCAATCCTTGTTATGCATGTACATAATTTATTTCATTTTATCATTTCACTCACTGTACTTTGTTGTATGTCTATATGTTTTTTGACTTGTCCTATAGCAGCTGTATTTGCTCGAATGGATAAATAAAGAATTGAATTGAAACATAAAAAACATTAAAGTGCACAATGTATTTAAACACAAACTAAAACAAATACTCATTGCAGCAGACCATATGGATTGGAAAATGTGGATGAGGGTACTTTCAAGAGATAACTGTCTCAAGCAATATGATATATGTTAATCGTAATCCTTTTAATCTTCTTAACAAATCACTTCCTGATGTAATGGGATGAAAATGTACACTATTCTTTTTGGCTTGTACCATACAAATTTTGTAATTTGTCCCGAAATAAATATTATAGTATTCAATTCTAATTGATCATTCGGTAAATTACCCAAATTCTTGAATCTATTGATTTCTAAACATTCTAGAAGATTGAGATAGGAAAGAAAAGTTTGAAACTCAATCTTCTAAAGTCCGAACTAGTGAAATTCATCATGAAACATTGTCAATCACCTTCAAACAAATGTAGAATATAGTTAGTATAGTGTTTTCGGTGTATTTGTAAGAGTTTCTGAAATTGAATTTTGTGAAAATTGCATCATGATCTGACAGATTGGAAGGAATAACATCACATCATGTGAGATCTTCACTTATATTAGAACAAAAATAGTTTATCAATGTTGAAGAATATTGGGTTTAATTGGTAAGATTCTAAAAGATTACCTAACCTTTGTGTATAAAATAAACTTCAATAAATTGATGGATGTAGCCGTTAGTATGTTGTAGGAGATCATCATGATTATTGAAAGTTTATATGTTTTCATACCACTTCATATTTGTAACTAACGTTACTGCAGTTTTGTCTTTCAAGTGTATATTCGAACGTTTGAAAATGTGATATAAAAACATAAACAAAATTTAATTATCATTTTTCAAAATAAATTTCACTTTACCAAACTAAATGTTCACGTGAAAATGACTGATTTCATTTCATTATTTTAAGGAATTCATGCTGGAAAAACTGTTCCCATAGTAAAAGGAGGAGAAGCCACTGTTATGGAAGAAAATGAGTTTTATGCCATCGAAACCTTTGGATCAACTGGCCGGGGTATTGTGCATGATGATATGGAATGTTCCCATTATATGAAGAACTTTGATGTTGCTTATGTGCCATTACGGTACGATAGATTTTATGCTTTTGTTCTCATTTGCTTGAAAATGGTTTATTTTTCAGCTTGCAGTCTTCTAAGTCGCTCCTGAACACCATTAACAAAAATTTTGGTACTTTGGCTTTTTGCAAGAGATGGCTGGACCGTGCAGGAGCAACAAAGTATCAAATGGCATTGAAGGATTTGTGTGATAAAGGCATTGTGGACGATTATCCTCCTCTGTGTGACATCAAAGGATGCTACACTGCTCAGTTCGAACACACAATTATGTTGCGTCCAACGTGCAAGGAAGTTGTTTCCAGGGGTGATGATTATTAGTCAGTTTCTATGAGTTGTTTAAATCCAGCGACTAATTTTTGTTATATTATACATCGATTCAATATAATTTTGTTTGGTGTTTCACTTGTCACATTCAAGAGTTACCATTTCCAACAGTCGTAGTTAATACTTTCTATTTCAATTATCAGTATTTGTAGGTGGGAAACATTGATTCGTTCTTAAAATTTTACATCTATAAGTTTCACAGTTATTAGTTAATATTTTTCAATGAGAAGTGAAAATAATTTGTTAAAGTGGAGTTATTTATGAAAACCCTTTTTATAAAAACAAGGTTTTTTCCACAGTATATTCATGTCGTCCATTGATTTTTGAGTTTTTTTTTTCATAACTGTAATCCTCAGATTCACAAAGCGCTAGATCTTTATCTCATTCCTGAAACCAGTAATATATATCAAAATTCGTGAAAATTATACCTGGAGAAGAATTGATAAGGCAGTCTTTTCAATAAACTGCTTTATGCTGATAAGGATGTGTTTTTAAAAAATTTAATTATACTAGGTAATCGTGTTTAGGTCCTATAACATTTATATCTAGTGAATGTGAGGTTGATATTGGTCATCATATAACTTCCATTATCATAGGATGAACAATATCAGCTTCTCATGCACCAAAATACTGAATCATTTTATTAAACAATGCAAAATTTGAAACTTCAATTACAACCACAGTAATTACACATCTCAATATTTTATGTCGACTGTCAGTGTGGCCAATCATATTAGGTTGATTCAAAAATTCTGTCCATTTTATAAGTCTACTTTTAACTATAATATCTTAGTGAATTCAATTGAAATAGGGCGCCATTTGAATCAGTGCACTTTTGCCAACGTAACACTAGTCGATTGTCAGCATAAAAACGGCGTGCTCGGAATTCGATGATGTCGACGAACGACGTTTTTGCCTGATCCTGATCGGCGAAGGTTCAACCGGTGAGACAGTTATCAAAGTGCTTGAAAATATTGTAGTCAGCTGGCGATAGGTCTGGAGAGTATGGTGGATGAGGCAGAACTTCGACGCTCAATTCGTTAAATTTTCGGACGATGATTTGTGAAAGGTGCGGACGGGCGTTGTCGTGGAACAGGATGGGATTTCTTCTGTTCAACAGTGGCGGCTATTGCTGATGCANTTTTTTTTTTTCAGAAAACTCATTAACTGAAAAAGTTATGATTACTATTCAGTGAAATTAAAACAAAATCATAAATAGAAAAAATGTGCTTAATTTCAGATGGACCCAAACCTAAAAGTTTATCATCAATGAAAATAATTTCTCACTGATTGTAATGATTCAGTTAATTTGAAACTTAAAATGTTCTTTTTATTCAATATCAAATCACAAATTCTTAATTATATAAATTACTCGTCAATAATGTCTGCTTCTGGTATATTTAACTGATCCAAATTATCTGGGTCAAAATTATTCCTTCTCCTAATTCGTTCCAAAGGCCGGAGAGGCTGATTGTTTCGCAAACATTCTAAAATCTCTCTTGCTCTTTCTATAACGTCTTTATCTATTCCTACGGCTTCCGCTATGGTAATGGCATAACTCTTAGAAATTCCTGAAATTAGTCATTTTTTTACAAAATGAAACTTGTGGAAGGCTGAGCAGGAGGTTATATACAAAAAGAAGGTGGAGAATAGTGGATATACGAAGTTAGGTAAGTTTTAAAAATTTAATTTTCATTGTTAATTCTTCTTATTCAATTATCTTTGCCTTAGAGTATCCACATGGTTTAATTTGTTTTGTAATATATCATTGTCTATTAGAAATTCATCATGTGAGCATTAAAGTGATATATGTATTCGTTTTCAAAACATTCAATGACAGTAGATTAACATTACACTAACGTTTCTCTTTTACTAAATGTGATGTTTTATTTTGACTGGACAGAGATTTTCCCTTCCAGTATATTGCATAGTTCATGGAAACATTGATACTACCATTTATATCAATCGAAGTGACATAATTAACAGATAAGAGAGTTGGACTAATATTCACTTATGAATGAATTGTATTTTTTTCTAACTAAAACTGATTGTTGCTTAAAACACCGTGCAATTTTTAAGAATTTATTTCAACATTCCCTGATTAATTTCCCAAAAAATAATTTTTGGTGATGTAAAGTTTATTGAATAGAATATTCCCAACTTCATTTCAGTTAGCTTATAGTATAATTCCAAAAGAGTAGGGACTAAATTCTCAGAATTGACTGACGTTTTTGCCTTAATCTGTCTCTTGCAGTGGCGGACGAAAATTATACTAAACAGAAGAGGAAAAATGATAAAATATATAGAAACACCACTTTGACAACAATACTATAGTATATTTACCTTCTGATATTTTGAATAGATAGCAAAATTGTCCGTTTTCCTTTTTGTGTTCCATTTTCATGTATTGTACCAAAGGTGTTTGAGGAAGATAATTGGCAATTTGCTGAAAGTGAGTCGACACCAAAACATGAGGACATTTAGTACCCATATTGAGAAAGTATCTTAATGCGCTTGCAAGGAGACATATGCCATCTTCGCCGGTTGTTCCTTTCCCAAATTCATCCATCAAAATGAGAGAAAATGGATTTGCGTTGTTCAAAGCATTGGTCATCTGAAATATCACTCAGACTTGAATGAGAGAATATGTTCAAAAATTTTACATAAATGGCTGAAATTGTTCAAATAGAACAAACTCAGTAAGCCAAAATTGCAAAAGTATTGAAAAGCTTGAGAAATAAATTTTTAGAATTACTTAATTGTTTCTGATTCAGAAATTCAGAATATTAAAGTTTCCAGAACGTATTGACATCTAGTCAACTTGAACCGGTTCCATGTATAAATAAAATATTACAATACCATTGCAAGGAAAGTGGAAAGTTTTATGCCAAAGAATCGAACCAGAGTTACAGAATAAAATTTGAGAAAAAGAATGTTGACTGAAATTTTGAAAATTAAAATGTGGAATATGAAGCCAACATGAAGTAACTGTAAGTGAAGGAAATGAAATGTATGCAGATATTTTAAGATATGCTCAATACCCTTGGGGATGAAATGTCCTTATGTGAAGTTGAAAAATTGAATTGCTAGCTTCGGAAGAGGTAAATTTTCTTTTGAAGATGAATCAATGGTAAAAAATGAATATCTTAGGCACTGAATATTTCATATGAATGCGTCCTTCATATAGTTCACGCCGATATGGACATAAAAAAATTGGGTTCCTAAATATCTGAACAGGATACAAGCATCACTTAGATCTCTGCTCGAGAAAGATGTCTTGATGTTACTGTAGATAAAACTTGGGTAAAGTTCTACCATCCAGAGACAAGCAGCAATCAATGGAATGGAGACAATCTGGTTTTCAAGGTCCAAAGAAAGTTCTAAAAAGTTCTACTTCATTTTTTGGGATTGCCAAGAAATAATCATGATTGAAGGGTAGGACAATAATTGGGAATTACTATTTGACGTCACTGAAAAAATTATGTTGTAAAGACGTGGAGAGTTTTCGAAATGTATCTCGTTGTAGGACAATGCCACTGGTCACGATTCGCATGTTGCTATGCAAACAACTTCTGAGTTAGGGTTCAAAACACTCGAACATCCCCCTTAGTCACAAGATCTAGCTCCGACCGATACCTTTCTTTAACTGAAAGAAACTCTGGAGAACACTACATTAAGATAGTTTCTATGGTACAATTGGATAAAAGGTGAAACTGGAACCTCTGGCGTAGAATGAATCTAAAATAAACACCTTTCCCAATCACCAGAAATGCAATAGTCTTCGCATCGCGCGTCCTCATTTCCTGAAGACGCCAACTTGATTGGTGAAACGCGCATCGAGAAGAGTATTGCAAATCTGGTAAATGGGAAGAGTGCTTGTTTGGTACAATCGGAAACAAAAAAATATGGGGAAGTCGCTTGCAAACACATATATCCTGTCACATCTCAAACGCTGGAATTTCCACTTTAACTGTACACACTTTTTTCAATTTCAAGCAGAACTGCTCACCATTTGTGCACCGCACGTCAACACTGTGGTCCTATGAAAAACTGCCTCCGAACATTTCCTTCATAACTACGATGTACATCTTCAGGGTCCTAAGTCTTATCTCAGTGGTATTTATAGAATGCGTTCTGGCAGTATCCGGTTCGATCGGTGGAGAGTCGAGGGTCTATATGATCCTCTCCAATTCCATGCTTCACACACACAGTCTAGGCCAGGAAGGCATACAGATTCATAAACATCGAAACAGCATAAAGAGGAAAGAAGAAACCACAACGATCGACAAAACATGGTATCCAGCTCTCCGCCAATGCCTAATAAAATCTTACACCAGCCGTGTCAATTAGAATAGTCCTTTACACCACGCCCCCTTTAAAAATATCACTGAAAAACACCATAGGTATAGGATCTCAATAATGAGTCTACCATTTGAGACCTGGCAAGCATTGCTGCCAACCACCACTAAAGATGCCCATCGCAGTTATGGAAGGAATGTTCAAAGCCATTCTCTTCATTGGACCGTGGCTACCTAGCCCAATTAACCACAGTTCTCATTAAATTTCTGACCAAAACTTTTTTTGTAATAATGATCTTTTCATTATGTATAATTTATTCAAAGGTTTCATTATTACTATTTTCTTGTAATATTTGAGTTATATACTCCTTACGGCAAATATATGGAGTGGTCCAACGAAAAGTATGCACCTTGCTTTTCCCCTTTTTTTTGTAACTTAACGCAAAAATGCTCGGACAGGTCAATTTTGCTTTTGAGGGGGACACATTTTAGATGTAGTTTTCTACCTGTGCCTTCAACCCCCTAGCGAGGGTGAGTAACAACCCTAAAATTTTAAATGGAAAGTGGGGTCGAGTGATATATCATTTGAAAGGGCACAAAATTATCTTTCCAATGATACCTAATTTGTTGTATTTACTTGAATAGTTATAAAAAAAGCAAGAACATTTACTCGATATTTTTGGTGTTAATGAAAATGCGGAAAAAACGGCATTTTTATCACTACTACATTCCTCAATTTCTCTTGTGCGTTTTTTGGTTCAAATAACAACAGCGGATAAGTGTACAAAAAGAATTTAGGCAAACGTTCATTGATTCAGTTCGGTTGCTTTTGAAATTATTTCAACTTTACTGTGAAAATGGTTTATTCCATTCCTGAACGAGTTGAAATTGTTAAACTTTATTATCAACATAATAGTTGTGCTAGACAATAACAGTCATCCCGGGAAAAATGTGAATGATTCGTACGTTGGCAAGTTAGTCCAAAAGTTTTTCGATACCGGATCTGTCTGTAATGTGAAACACCAGCCACGGAAACCGATTAGAAATGAAGCAGTGGAAGTCGCTGTTTTGGGACATGTTGAATTGGATCATACTCAATGTACCCGTCAGCTTGCTGCAGCCTCAGGTGTCTCCCGTTCGTCCATAATACGGATATTAAAAGCCTATAAATTTCATCCGTACAAAATTAAATTAGTACAGGAACTCAATGAAGATGATCCTTATAGAAGGCTGCAATTTTGTGAACAACTGAGCCAGCTACTAATTGATGATCCGCACCTATCATTCACCACGTGCTTTTCCGATGAGAGTACATTTTTTTGAATGGAGCTGTGAATAGGCATAATAGCCATTACTGGGATGACAGTAACCCACACTTATTCCGAGAGGTCCATACCCAGTACCCTCAAAAAATCAATGTCTGATGTGGCATATTAGGTAGTCATATTGTAGGGCCACTTTTTATTCCTGGGAATTTAACTGGTGAGGTCTACCTGAACATGCTTGAAGATACAATTGATCCTCTCATTACAGAAATAATTGAAAATGACCAAAATCATAATAATGATCGGTTTCATTTCCAGCAAGATGGAGCACCTCCTCACTATGTTGCTCCAGTAAGAGAGTTTTTAGATGACCGGTTTCCTGGACGGTGGATTGGAAGGAGAGGCCCCATCGAATGGCCTACCAGGTCACCTGATTTATCGCCTTCAGACTTTTTCCTTTGGGGACACTTGAAAAATAAATGTTTTGCTACGCAGCCCGAGTCCATAGAAGATCTTCGCCAACGAATTACAGCAGAGTGCAGAAGTATAACACCTGATATGCTACAGAATGTTAGGAATAGATTTGAAGAAAATCTTTATTATTGTATGGAAGCAAATGGGTCACATTTTCAGCACTTGTTGAAGTAGGATTATACTAAATCAATTACACATTTCAAAGTACTGGGTTGTAGTTGTTTTTCTTCATGATACCTATATGTTTGAGTGAAATACAACAAATTAGGTATCATTGGAAAGATAATTTTGTGCCCTTTCAAATGATATATCACTCGACCCCACTTTCATGCTCACAAATTAATCGAGATTCTCAAGGCAGGAGTTACCGAAGATGCGGAATTTACTGATATACAATTTTAGTGTCAACAACTTGAACATGTCTATGCTTTTGAAAATGATCAGTAAACCAAAATACAATTTATTCTGGTGAATAAATACAGAATATTTTTTAATGATAAAGTCGTTACATCATTCAAGACAGTAGTGCTAGTAGAGGTCATTTTCGAAATAAACCTGTGATGGGGGTCTTCAAAATTGTTTGAAAATAGTATTTTGGTGTTTGCAAATGGCCTATATAGTTGAATGCTTGTTTCTCAATTATTATATCTTTAGATATTTCCTTCAATAGAAAGGTAGGCAGTCTACCCTTGTTACCCATGAAGGTTCTTGGGTTTATGTATTTATGGAATTGAAATACAGGTAAATTCCTTACCTGCGAAACGTCAATCATAAATCCTGAAAGACGAACTGCGGCTGATTCAGTTGCCTGTAGCCTAGTGTGAATAGTGTTCAGCAAGCTGATATTGGCCCGTTTGGCAGGAACATAAGAACCGATGTGAGCTAAAAACACCACCAAAGCTATTTGTTTCAAGTATATGCTTTTGCCACTTCCATTAGGACCAGTGATTATTTTCATGTGGCTATACTGGCCACCGGAATAAAAATCGTTACACTGAAAGTGGTCCAATAAATGTTCCATGAGAGGATGCCTGCTTTCTTCAATCTCAAAGTAACTGTTTTGGTTGAGCATAGGACGAACATATGTATTTTGTGCAGAGGTGATCGCCATTGATATCAAACTAAAATAGAGATTTTTTTCAGATGTTATACCTAGGAAAAAACCACTCACTTTGGACCTAATCTAACCTAAGTGTATAATGACGCAAAAATCCAATAAGTACTCTTCACATTTCTCGGTAAGTTATCAGTGAATCTGATAATCGTGTGCCATGAGTAAGTGTGATAATCCACTTCTTTCAGAATTTATTTGGCCAATATTTAACGTGGTTCGAGGAAAGAGGTCGCTTTATTCTACCAAGAATTACCTTTCATCATTGAAACAACCATTTTAAGAGCAGTCTAGGTAGAGTCTGCAGGGTTTGTAGAGTATATCTCTACATTTCATCCACGTTCTCCTTTCTGACTACATTTGTGTCAATCAATGTCAGAAACGAATATCATTTTACTTTGACGGACATTGCCTTACATTTGCAAAAATCATAATGAACTGTCTCTTGTCCCTCTGGTGCTGTTCCTGCAGGTAAGGTCCAAATGGATAATGTTTATAGCTCCGTAATTATTCTGAGCTGACCCCTGCTGTGTTGAATCAGTTTGAAGTTTTTTTTCCAGACAATCTCTTGATAGAGATTTTCCTGTAATTGTTGAGTTTATCATGTCCCAAGTACACTCCTGCTGTCAATAAGAACATTGATGCTCATTTTGTTGACTAGTCAAATTACACTAGTTTACACCCAATTCAGGACTGTAATGCCGAAGGTAGTTCTTTGTTAATTTTTGGTCCCTTAATGCGAAAATGATATAAAAATTCACAACACGTAATATTTTTGAGTTATGATTTTTTCACAAAAATTGAATGAACACGACATTCCAAATTTGCTTTTCCCCTAAATTGAGGAAATTGTTTAAAATTGGCAACACAGCGGCTCTGCCCAGTATTCGAATCTGCTTCCGCTGTACATGAGACTTGTAACGCTGCTTCTCGAACTTCCGATACTCGAAGTTTCCATAAAATACCAGAAATACGGAACTGCTTTAAAATAGCAGGCTGACAATCGGATCATCAATATTGGTTTAATCGCATGTCTCTCAAAATCCATTTCTTGCACTCCCATTTGAATTTTTTCCTAGAAAATTTGGGTGTTGTCGGTGACGAACAAGACCAAGACATACTGACAATGGAGCAACGTTACCAAGGCAGATGGGATGCAGCAATGATGGGGGATTATTGTTGGGAAAACGATGAAACATAAAAACGAAAGTCAACATTTGCAAAAAGGTTATGCACAAAAGACTTCATTTGAATGTTTTTTCATGTGTATTGTAAATAAAGTATGTTATCTTCAAAATATATTGCCTTTCTCTTGTTTTGATCTTATATTTCCCTATAACGTGAAAATTCTTGTATAAAATAAAAATAACTTCAACTCAAAATCTTTACGTGATGGAAAATTTTTGATGTTGAAGTCGCAATCAGCATGCTTTAAACTCTCATGTATAGCCATTATAATATTAGTCGCAATTTTTTTCTTATTTGTTGGCTAGTGTTATTATCCGATACACATTGCTAGATTGCATACACTTCCACATGGAAGATGGATATGCATTGCGCGAGCAGGTAACCGTAGTGTAACTTTCTCTCTTCACAGTATATTCCAGCTCGCGTCCCACATTCTATTTTCAACCCGTATTTATACCAGGTGTCACTGGCTACCAAGTTCTCTGAATGATTTTTCATTCTTCACTCTTTGTGTCGAAAATCTTCTACACCACTTATCCTTTCAATCTGCGGATTCAACAACCTCCGGAGCTTCAGGCAACACTGCTATTTTGTCAATATGTACCTTATGCGTGCCACATACAACGTTCATAATAATAACTAATCTGTGCTCGTGTAACATATGTATGTAGAATCATAGAGATAATTTACACATATGTGAACTGACTTTAAGAATATATATCTTTGAAAATAACATATAAATTGATTTTTAACGGTTTTCACGCCCAAAAATTTTATATTTTTATGTGTACTCCACCGGGTGTAAATCCAACTTTCCTAATGAAGTCACACCATCAAATTACCTATCTATAAGTCCAATGATTTTCAGGGGCTCCCTAATGTCATTGTTGTACTTCAAAATAAAACCAGATAATCTCCTTAGTATCCGATTTTCATGGTCTATAATCTCAGAATTGATATCACCAAGTCTTTTGTCTAGCTCTGAAAAATCATCATAAAAGGTACTCGATTTTAAAAGTGATTGAAAATATTTCCTTACCCACACACATTGGATTCTTATAATGAATTACACCTCCTATTGTGAACTGAAAAAATTAAAATAATCAACAATCATATTTAGTAACTTATGTTTCACAACTTATATACCATAAACTGAAATCCTAAATCTTGTAGCTCTTCGGGATTACAGCCTGGTTCCCATTCATGAATACCAATCAAATGTCCCATTTCAGGTAGATAAATGACGGCACACTCCTCCAAAAATTCTGGCAGGTTATTAGCAGCAAATCTAGCAGCAGCTGTTATGTCTTTTGCAATATCCTGTTGTCTCAATTTTTCTGTAAAAACCAGAATCTGTTGTAAAGTAAAATTTTGCTTGTTATTCATGTTATAACTAATTGAATATTTCAATTATGTTCATAATTATTCATAATAATTAAAAATTTTCACAATATAGATTGTAGTTCCAATACACGTTTCACTACATAGTAGCATCCTCAGTTGGATCCGTCCAACTATAGTGTTATACATTTTCACCAAGAAATACAGTGTATTGAAAAATCAATTATTTTGTATATGTCTGCATGTATAGTCTATACGAAGTCAAACCAAATAAAAAACTAATGGCATTACTCTTCTTTACTAATAGAAAGAAATCCGGTAGGTTTGTGAAAAATTAAATTAATTTTGAATATATATATATATATAAAGTTGAGAAACTTAGCGACTGGAGAAATGTACAGTAGAATGGAATAACGGGGT